TAGTTACTTTGCAGAGCAATAAATGAACCACAATAGAGCATGGGATTTTCACCTATCACGGGGGTCTCTGGAACTTAACTCCCAAGATGGGTGAGGGATCACTGCACTAGTGAGTGGAAGGGACACAGGTGTTACAAATTAGCTTTAATACTTCTATGGGGGAAGCATGGGGTAGGTGAAATAGGACTGCCATAGATGGACAACAGTTGAAGCTGGGAGAAAGAAGGAAACAAGGAGGCTCATTATACTATTTTATAAGTATTTGAAATTTTAACAGACTAATTCAAATCTAAGATGTATTTCCACAGTTTTCAAAAGTGTTAAAACAGCAATGTTAAAGTTAACTTACCCACATAAAGCCACCGGAAAAATGCCTTGAAATTCTTCATACTACTGTCTATAACTCTAAAAAGATAAACAAATCAGAAAAAAGGTCATGTGCAGTTCATGTAGTACTGTTCAACTGTCACAGAGTAAAATAAACCTTACTGTTCTACTTAGTCTTGTCAGGATTTAAGCCCTTAGAAGAGCAGATTTCACAAATCAAACATTATTACATTCCTAAAATTAAGGCAAACAAAAATAAAACACATCTCGATTCTTTCAAAAAATTAAGTAAATAAATGATATTATCTGGTTGTAACTGTCTTTCCAAAAAACTGAATCTTTCCCAGCATTCTGTGACATATGAATTCTTTTCCTAACTCTGCAAGTAAGTGAGGAAAAAAATTTTCCCACATTATTTTTTGTTAAAAAATTACTAGTCAGGGCTGGGAAGGTAGCTCAGTGGTAGAGCGCTTGTCTTGCATGCCTGAGGCCCTGGGTTCGATTCCCAGCACCACAAAAGCAAAAAGAAAAAAGCCGGAAGTAGTGCTGTGGCTCAAGTGGTAGAGCACTAGCCTTGAGCTGAAGAGCTGAGGGACAGCGCCCAGGCCCAGAGTTCAGGCCCCACGACTGGACCCCCCCAAAAAAAATTACTAGTCAGTAAAAAAAAAAACAAAAAAAAACACTGACTCCAAGAGGAAGTTACTACTATAAACTTATGTTATGTCACAATGTCTGATATCACTGGACATCATTTTATGAAGCTTAATTTTTAGTCCAACAAATAAACGAGGTCTCAAAAATTGAATTCTCTTGGATTTGACACAAATGAAAAAAGTTAAGTATTATAAATCAAACTCATCTTCATTTGGGTGAACTTTCTGAATACAGAGTTGAGTTCAATTTTTACAATCTCTTTAAGTTTACTTCTATGTGATAATTACAATAAGCAAATAATACCTGTACTGATTTTCCTTGAGGTCCTAAGACCTGAACCGAGGGCCTGTGCATACTAGACCACAGTGTGCCAGTGAGCTATGTTCCCAGCAGTACGAGTATTTTTTATGTTTCATAATATCACTGAGAGGTGGATCAGTATCATTCACCCTACTAGGAAATCAAAGACTGCAGCACTCCTATGATACCAAGCAAGGTAACTAAAATTCTCTTGCAGCACCAGGGAAAAACAAAGTTTCTCTGTGTTCTCCCTAACTAATATCTTCACCCCTACCTAACACAACCAGACCACACTAAAGCCCTCCCCCACTGCTCCTGTTCCTCCATCTGTAACCCTTCATAGAGGGTTACAGAGGGTTACACTATTCATAGTGAGCAGTAAGCCTAGAAAACTTAGTATTTCATATTTGCTCTCAGCAAATGTGATAAATTCCAAAAATATTCCAAAACACAGGAAAAGCAATGTCATTTTTCTCCTCTCACTTTGACTTCTGAGCAAGTGCTGGAGCTTTCACTTTCTAGGGCCTAATTATAATGACAGTGAACCGGAGGAAGCATATGTATTATAAACTTAGAAAAATAAAGAGTAAAGAACATATTAAAACTAGTTTCAGAAGTGCGGAATACTGGTGAGTGACAAAGCTTCCCAGGAGAGGCCAAGTGCAGACAGCTCAAAGACCAAACAGCCAGGAATGACAAGAGTCTGAGAAGCTTGGTGCTGGCGGTTCACGCCTCGTCCTAGATACTCAGGTGACTGAGATCTGAGGCCTGCACTTCAGACAGCCCAGGCAGGAAAATCCAGGAGATTCATAAACTCCAACTAACCACCAAAAGCCAGAAATGGAGCAAATGGTAGAATGCCAGCCTTGAGAAAAAAGCAAAGGGACAGCACTCAGGCCCTGGGTTCAAGTTCTGTGACTGGCACCAAAAAAAAAAAATCTGAGAAACAGCTCAACAGAGAGAGCAATTAAAACATATTCCTAACTGTATCTTACTGTACTAGACATATTAGCCAAATATAAATAGACTAAAAACTGAATCAAAGTTAAATTTGCTAGACTTGAAACTCTTTGTATGATTAAATAAATTTACAATCCTTTTGCCTTAGCATCCCAAGCACTGGGATTACAGGTATGTGTGTAAGGTTCTTATTAATTTCAAATATAAATATTCACAATCAATGATTCTAGGTAACCCATTACTTACTGAAGAAGTTCATTTGCCTTGAGTATAAAAGAACCCACAGCAGTAATAGCATCTAAAAGGAAAAAATATATATATAAATAAATAGTCCTTGTTAAATAAGTAAACTATATCTAACATATTCTGGTGAGAAATTAAATCACTACCTTCAATTCCCGTAGCATCCAGTCCAAGGGGTTTGTATTTTTGCTTCCATGAAGCCATTCCTTTCAGTTCACTCAAATGATACAATAAAGACTCTGAGCCACTAGCACAACAGGAGACATAGTATCATTACTTAGGGTGGTAGGCAGTAACTACCTTTCCTAACAGTTCCAATTTTTCAGAAATAAAAACTTAAGGTAACTATTTAATTTTCTTTCCGTTAAAAAAATTGTATCTCTAGTTCTGTAAACATAAGCACAATCATCTGGCTATCATCCACTGAAATGAATATACATGACAATAAGATTAAATTTTATATGATCAAATTATGTTTCACAGTCCTGGCACTATTTGGGGGGAGGGACAATGCTAGAGATGAAGCTAGGGCCTTGCATAAGCTAGCAAGTGCTCAACACTAAGCTACCCCTTAGCCCCAATCTTGGCACTTTAAAGACAGCCAGTAGGCAATCTTGTTCACCCATATCTACCCAATACTAAACAAATAGTTTTTGAGATCCAACTTTCTGTCAGACATTGTGCTAGATGCTAGGGCCAGAAAGGTGACAAGAATCAGGTCCTTGTGACCACGGAAATTACAGTGTAACAGGGGAGACAGGTCACAACCACACAATCATACAGTGTAATCTTCCCAATGGCCATAAATGCCTTGAGGGGAATGCATAGGGAAGGGTATAAGTAGAATCTGAGTTAATATGGGGACTGGTGAAAACTGCTCTGAGGGAGTGAACTGAGCTGAAAGCTGAAGATTCAAGAGCAGGGCAGGTGTTCATAAAGCAAGAAGGAGGCCCCCAAATCCGTGAGTGGGAGATGTCAAGTGTGGAAAGTAGAAGGCCTCTTATAAGAGCAATAGGAGCGTCTGTGAGAGGTATTCCATTGGATTTACTGAGGAATACACATTCTACAGGGATGGGGATATAGCTCACCAGAAGAGTGCTTGCCCAGCATATACAAGACCCTGGTTTTGACCCAGAGCATTGCAAGAAAATGAAAAAGAAGAGTAAAAAGACCAGACATTTGTGGAACAAAGTATAGAAAGACCAGTGCAGAAGGCACTACATAACGGGCTGTCTCCATATTTAAACTGAACATTCAGCATCCACTTGTAAAACTGTCACTCAAGCAGCTATGGATAGGAACAACACGAGACCTGGAACATTAAAAGGAATTGTGGCTCTGCCATGTACTAATTTTGGGCCAGCCATATAACTAATTCAGTTTCATCCTGGTAAAATGAGACTCAAAACAAAATTCTAGGGTGTTGAATAAAAAATACACAATATGTTTTACAAGATAAAATATACAACATACTCAATTTTCTCTGTGGAACAAAAAGAGGAATATACGCCCTATTTCAAAATATACCTTATAGTTTAGTGGGGGGGGGGAATCCAGATGGGAGACTTGCTTGGTGAAAAGATAGTGAAAAATTATTTCATGAAGCAGAATTAATCTTTACACTTGGGTGTGCCAAGGTTCCCCTTCAAATGCCAATGCAAAAATTTCAGCTAGGCACTATTCACAATAAATAGCTTATGCAGCCATTAGAAAAGATAAAATAATGGTATTCGCAGAGAAATGGATGGAACTAAAACGAATCAGTTTGAGTGAGGTAAGACTAGAGCAGAGAGACAAATAGCACATGTTCTCCCTGATATGAGGATGTTAAATCCAAAATGCAAGGAGATACCACAAAGTAAACAGGACTCAAGAAACAAAGGACATCTACTTAATCTCCCATATAATTTCTAAATGACTCCATGTTCTTGACCTCATATATGGTACATATGTGTACACATCTAAGGGAAGCTAGGAGGAGGGCACAGAATCAGAGGGAAACAGGTGAAAAAATACAACAGAGGGGCCCATCAGCTGCACTGGATATTGATGAAAATGAACTAAAGAACTCAAGGGAGGGAGGGAAGGAGAGGGAAAGAGGGAACAGCTAACACTAAGCAAAAGGAAAGAAATATATTTATCACCCAAAGCAGAAGAAATATTGCCAAAGCTCATATAATTCACAAACTTTATAGACCAAGATAATGACAATTTGCCTTGCAAAGGTTAAAATGTGTTTGTGACTTTAACTAAGTATCACTATCCTACAGTACTATGAAATTTGTGAAATTTATATAATCACTTAATCTCAAAAAAAATTATTATTAAAAAAAAATTTCAGAGAAGTGGCACTGTAGCTCAAGTGGTAGAGCGCTTGCCCTGAGCTGAAGAGCTGAGGCCCAAAGTTCAAGCCCCACAACCAACAAAAAAAAAAAAATTTCAGCTAGGAAAGATTCCAGAAGAAAATGCCAGACAATAAAGGTAAGTTTTCAGAAAGACCAAAGCAATGCCCATCATCTTCATACCTCTGCAAATGACTTATAACCAACTTCTGAATACTGGAATATGATGACTCTATCGACTGGCCAAGCTTTTTTAAGCCCTAATTAAGAGAGGAAAATATATTAGCACTCAACTAGGAGAATATATGCCATTCCAAAAAAAAAAAGAAAAGAAAAAATTTAAGACTGCATTCACAGCTACTTAAGTACACAAATATTTTAACAGCACCTTTACAGTTTGCTGGTTCATCAAAAGGGTCTGAAGTTCAGCACTACAATGAAAAAGGATGTTTTAGTCATTTCTCCATCCAAAATCTGTACACATTGCTTAAAATCATAGATTTCAAAGAAAAAACAGAATTTTGGAACAAAGTAAAACTACCCTCAACAAAAATACAACTTTCTTTAAAAAATACACCTTTCTTTTATATACAGAAAGAAACAAAAACATAACCCAAACACACTTAAGTACACATGAGGATACACTGCATATTAAAAAGGACTTGGCTTAGTAAAGCAAAGGGCAATGCTCACTAAGCCATATTGTACCAATCTAAACATTTAGGAAAAGGATGGCAGAGGTTTCCACAAAGCACCACAGAAATCACATCTGAAACATGGGAGGTAATAAATGAAAACCATAAAAAATAACTCCAGAAGTAAATACAGATTAACCTTTTCATGCTCTTAAGATGGGGAAAGTTCTAAGATACCAAAAAGAACAAGTTTAGTTTGGCTACATAAAAACTAAAACTTCTATACAAAATGATCACATTAACCCAAAAGGGTGTATCCAAAAACCTACAGATGTATACTTCTAAAACTCTTTATATACCAGAATTTTCTATTTCATTTGGACAAATGAATTATTTGTTTTTATTTACTTCTAAAATAAATTGATTTAAAAAGTGGGGAGAGGGGTGAAGCAGGGCATCAGTGGCTCATCCCTGTAATCTTTGCTACTCAGGAGGCTGATATCTAAGGATTATGATTCAAAGACAGCCCAGACAGGGCTGAGAAGGTAGCTCAGTGGTAGAGTGCTTGCCTTGCATGCATGAGGCCCTGGGTTCGATTCCTCAGCACTACATAAGCAAAAAGCCTGGAGTGGTGCTGTGGCTCAAGTGGTAGAGCGCTAGCCTTGAGCTGAAGAGCTCAGGGACAGGGATTAGGCCCAGAGTTCAGGCTCCAGGACAGAAAAAAAAAAAAAAAAGGCCCAAACAGAGAAGTCCCTGTGAGAGTCTTATTTCCAGTTAACCACTCAATAAACTGGAAGCAGGGATGTGGCTCAAAGTGGTAGAGCGAAAAGATCTTAAGGACAGCACATAGGCCCTGAGTTCAAGCCCCACAACCAATCAGGGGAGAGGGGAGGGAAAAGGAGGAGTTTATTACCTTGCCTTCCCCCACAACAGCAAGTGCATAAATTCATCCTGTACTGATGTAGTTGTGTTCTTTTCCTAGATAAAATAAAAAGAAATATGTGATACGTGTTTTGCAGCTTATAAAGTACATCTACTCACTATTCTTTCCTCTGTCTCTCTCAAGCCCCTATACACAGGAAACATCTGAGGTTCAGTGACTGGAGACAACCAGTCAGCTGTTTCAATAGCTTCCTCATTCCCAAAGCCCACCCACTGCATTATATTATTCCAGTGGTGGAAGAGTCAGCTATGGATCTGATATGGTTTGTCCCCCAACGGTTCATGTATTATGATGCTGCTGAGGTAGTAGAATCTTTAAGAGGTAAGGCATACTGGGAGGTGGTTAGGTCACTGGGGGTGCTGCTATGTGAAGAAAATGTAGTTTTCATAGGAACCTGGTTAGATCCTGCAGAGTGAGTTGTTCTAAAAGAGCAAGACCACCCTTCTCCACTTTCTGGTTCCTGGGTCACAAGGTGATCCCTCTGCCAAGATGCCATCTCCCAGAGGAAGAAAATAACAGAGCCACACAATCTGGGACTTCTAGTCTACAAAACTAGAAGTTACATAAACCTCTTTTCTGTATACATTATCCAAGTTCAGGTACTTTGTTATAGTAACAAAACCTAATATAGAGTCCCTTTTGCAAATATTTTCTGTGAAAATAGTTGTTGGGCCAAGCTGTCTGAAGAAATTATGGTCTTAACCTTTCATAAATTAAACTGACTTTTCTCATATAGCATATGAAGCAAATAGACTTTTAAACTCTTTCCACGGGAAATGTCAGTTACATTACCTGCACAAACTTAGTGAGACGAGAATCCATCTGCATCAGTATTTCTTCCCATGCTTCACACATACATGTCAGTGACAAATTTATATACTATTAGCAAAAAGAAGAAAATATTTTAAACCCACATTCTACCTAATATGTGCTTCTTAAGGTCACAAAGAAATCCAGAACTTACTTTCAATCACTCTAATTAACTTAGTTAAGCCAAAGGAAAAGAAAAGGCCATAGCCAACCTTTGGTAACTTCTTTTTTTTCCAATTGTGGGGCTTGAACTTGTGATCTGGGGACTGTCCCTGAGCTCTTTTACTCAAGGTTAGCTCCCTACCACCTTGAACCACTATTTTCTGGTGGTTAACTGGAGCTAAGAGTCTCATAGATTTTACTGCCTGAGCTGGCCTTGAACCATATCCTAAGATCTCAGCCTCTTGAGTAGCTAGGATTACAGGTGTAAGCCACCAGGGTCTAACTGTTTGGTAACAACTATTTTTACCAAAGAATCAATGATTCTTAGAACTTTACAAAGGAACTTTTTTTATACTTACATTTTATTGTAAAGGTGATGTACAGAGGGGTTACAGTTACGTAAGAAAGGTAATGAGTACATTTCTTTTTGCACAGTGTTACCCCTTCCTTCATTTCAAAAGAACATTTTTTTTTTTACAATGTCTGCAGCCAAATTTATCCCCAGGCCCCAAAGCAAGGGATCTGGGGCCCATGGGCTACAAGCTTGCTGTGGCAGTCACCTGGGCCAGCCCCCACCATGGCAGGATGGGAGTTGAATTTGACTTGACTGCAATCAAAAGAACATTTCTGTACCTAGTAAAACAAACATCTTTTACATTATTTAAGCTGTGTTTTATTACACTGTCAAAATGTTGGTTTGTTCAACTATTAAACTGTCAGAGGACCCTTAAAAGATTCCGACCCCTCGTAACGTTTGCTATCAAGTAAATTAATGGCTGTGGTAGAACAATAATGATAAAAATGGCCTCAACTCGACTGGGAAGGTGGCTCAGTGGTAGAGTGCCTTGCATGCATGAGGCCCTGGGTTCAATTCCTCAGCACCACATAAGCAGAAAAAGCTGGAAGTGGTGCTGTGGCTCAAGTGGTAGAGCACTAGCCTTGAGCTGAAGAGCTGAGGGACAGCGCCCAGGCCCAGAGTTCAGACTGGCAAAAAAAAAAAAAAAAAAAAAAAGGCCTCAATTCTTTACAGTTCTTCCATCCTGACTTATTCTCCTCACCTTGCACCTGGCTGCCCTATAGCTTGCTCTAACTGAACATAGCAGAAACAACACTACTGAGGCAGGGCCTTCAAGATGTTTATACATCTTGACTGGCACTTTTTTTTTGAGGGGAGGGAGAGGGAGACAGGATCTTGTTATATAGCCCAGGCTGGCCTCACGCTTGCTATATAGCTCAAGTTGATATAATACTCTTGCTTGAGCCTCCCTATTGCTGGATTATAGAAGTGTCTCACCAACCACAGTTCAACTTACACTCTTATTTATTTATTTAATTTTTTGCCAGTCCTGGGCTTGAACTTGGCCTGAGCACTGTCCCTGTGATTCTTTTGTTCAAGGCTGTCACTCTGCCATTTAAGCCACTGCTCCAGTTCTAGCTTTTTTTGTGTACATGGTACTGAGGAATTGAACCCAGGGCTTCATGCACGCGAGGCAAGCATTCTACCACTGAGACACATTCCCAGCCCTCAATGTGTACTCTTGAAACCTTTGCTGCCACTACATTAGAAACAACCCAGGACTAGCTGGCTAGAAGATGAGGGATGCAGGGCAGAGGCAAAGCCATTTCAGCCAGGGACACATATCAGCTTGCATGATCAGGCTGGGTGATATGAGCCATACCAGGTACAGATCACCACAACTTTCTGGCTGAGTTTAGTCCAAACTGCTAACCTACAAAATTATTACTAATTTGGGGTATCTTTCTTATGAGCAAAAACTAAAATCATAAAAAGACTATTTTATTTGCAATAAAATATAAGTAACATTTTATTAATAGGAACATTTAAAAAGATTGACTACTTTTTCCCTTTCATTTGGAGGTGATAAACAGGATTGGATGAGTAGATTAATTAAATTACTTTTTCTTGCTTTAATAAATATTGTAAGATTAGCAGAATAGATATCCAACTGCCTTTAGTTTTAAAAAATAAAATTACAAAGGTTATAGTAAACACTTCTAGAAAGCAAGTGATGAATAAATACCTGCAACAGAGCTGAAATGTGAGTAAACTTCCTGGCCATCCGAGTTACTTCAGGTAAGAAGGAGTAGAGCAGATTGGTTTCAAGCTGAAAAACAAGAATAAATTGAGTCATAATCAGATGTATTTACTTTTTTAAAGATAAATTGTTCCCGTAAAACACACACACACACACACACACACACACACGCATGCACACACGCACGCATGTGCACGCGCACACGTGTCATCCTCTAACTTAAAGAGGAGCAAAGATCTAACTAAGTATCAGGAAGACCAAATCAGAATTCTGCCCCCTTTCAAACGTAACCAAGTTGGAGGCATCAGAACCAAGGGAAGGCATCAAAAGGCATTAAAATACTACTGGTAAAAACAAAGAAAATACCCCTTACCAGTTATATCACACAGAAGTTGTCATTTAAAAAAAAATCTATTAATAGCTGGGAATGTGGCTTAGTGGTAGAGTGCTTGTCTTGCATGCATGAAGCCCTACATTTGATTCCTCAGTACCACATAAACAGAAAAAGCCAGAAGTGGCACTGTAGCTCAAGTAGTAGAGTGTCAGCCTTGAGCAAAAGAAGCTCAGGGACAGTGCCCAAGCCCTGAGTTCAAGCCCCAGGAAAAAAAAAAAAAAACTTTTACAAATTTCACAGAAAAAAAAGAGTTGCTCTATTATAGCACAAATACAGCCTGGTGATCACAGTTTCTCAGCCTTAAGACACAAATGTGTACTACCACTGTTGTGAATTCTATGTCTAGGGTGCTCTGGAACACTGAACAGCATGCTATTGAAGACACTAAGCAGTCCTCACATCTTCTATCCTTTTGTTCTACTTTGTTTGAAAATTCACACATACTTAGGATAAACATATAGGATTTTCAGAGGAAACACTAGGGAAGTTTTCTTGGCAAAGCAAAGGTACAATCTAAATAACAGGAGCCCAAACAGTTTCCTAATCTTATTATGTATGCTACACACAATAAAAGAGCTCTCACCAATACTTAAATGTTTTACACAAAAAGCATGTGTTAAGAGCAGAGCCTAATGGTGCACACCTGTAATCCCAACACTTGGGAGGCTAAAGCAGGAGAACCTGAAGTTCTAGGCCAGTCTGGATTACTGAGCAAGCCTTCCTCTCATTAGAAGGAGAAAAAAGGCACAGAACCTGAAGGCAGACTGCCTAGCATCACTTTCCAATTCTGAGCTTTTGTATGTGCCCAGTACTTTCTTCAGGTATAATAACAGTGCCTATCCATATGTTCTTGTGTTTAAGGCTCTAAGGGCTTGGCATATAATAAATGGTGAATATCAGCCTTTATTATTACTAATAACTGCGTCCCAAGAAAATGCTCAAAACCAAGAAATTCTGTTATAGGAACCAATTTGTAGGGCCATGATCATCAAAACATTGTTTTTATGTGGAAAATAATAGTACTACAACAGCATTTAATATATACAATTTAGAAACTCCACGTAGATGTTTTATTTTGCTGCCCATTAGAATACAGTGAGACATGGATACAAACCCACAGGGGTGGGGACCCAGCTCAGTGGTGGACAGCATGCTAGTATGTCCTGTCAACCCTCAGCACCAACCACCCCTAAAAAACAACAGAAAAACTAAAACATATTCTTAATCTCTACAATTATGAAGTTCCAGTACATACCTGAAAGTATGAAACCTCTGAAGCACCACCAGTGGAAACCTCTGCGACCACTGATAATGACTTCAAATCACTTGATAGACACAATGCAAGACAAGTGCCAGCAATCTGCAAAATAATCACACACCCTCATACATGTGGTATCACTGCTAGGGTGCACTTTGTAATACTGGAAGCAACAATTTATACACAACTTTAGAAAGCTGTGACACACACTTCTGGTTTCAGCTATACTCATGTTGCAGGTAAAGGTAGGTAAAGCAGGTAAAGGACTCCTCCTAGTCACAAAGACCTATAAACATCAAAACTTCTGATCCCAATCCCATCAACAGTTGCACATCAAAGGTTGATGAACAAACAAATTTCCTGAAGGTTATGATATTGTCTACACCTTGGGGAATTGTGAGAGCAAGATGAAAAAGGCTATGAAGACTGATTTAGCAGAAGTAGGAGACTCAGTACTCAACAAAGAGTGGCTTCCGATAGCTTTCATTAGGCTCCAGTTAAATCACAGTCAAATGGATCATATCAGTCTTTTCATTAAAGGAAAAAGCTTGACTAATTCCACCAAAAGTTTCTCATCTCTATAGTAATATCATCATTATTTTAGCTTAAAAAATCCTCTAATTATTTAAAAACAAATTGAAACTGAAAAAATAAAAAAAACTTACTATGTTATTCTTATTCCATAAGTAAACTAGCCACTATATTTTAAGAGAAATAATAGAGGAAACCTAAAAGAAAAACTCACCCCTGTGACTCGAGCAATTTTGAACATCCCATAAGCATAAAGCTCAATATATCCAGAGCTTCCTCCAAGGACAAGAATATTTAACCTAATAAAAAAATGTAACAAGCAAAGAACCAGTGAACAACACAGATGATTGTGGGTGTTTTTATATTTGTTGATTTTATTTCTACACTATCTTTAAAAAATAATTAGCATGAACTTATAATACAAAAGTGTTACACTGTGATATTTACATGAATATAATATACTTTGATCAAATTTACTCCTAATCTATATTACTCTTTCTTAACTATCCTCCCTCCCTATCTATTCCTTCCTAAGTTTCTGGAGGGCTTCATGATGGTATTGTCATACATATATATTCACCTTGCCTCACCATCTCTTTTTCCTTTCTCCCTCCTGCTGGTTCCTCTTCTCGCTTTTAGATGGTTTTTTCAGCCAAAATATCAACTGTTACTGCTTTCATCTAATCTGAGTGCTAAAATTCCTCTTCAGGGAAAACTGATACACTAAGCAAACACAGCAACTCTCAATATTCAATCACAGCAGGCCATTTCTTTTGTTTCCGAAGAACAATATATATTTCTTATAGCTAACATTAAGCATTTATAGTAACATAACATACTAATAATTGTATTCACATACAGCCAATAACAAAACAGTTTTATCATGGATATGACACAATGAAGAACTTGGATAATTAAAATTGAAATTTTAAAAATTCTAGTACTATCCCCTTTTACTTATTAAAAACAAGTATACTGCATTACTGCTAACACATGAAACAAAGAACGAGCACACAGTAAAAACAGCAAGACGGTGACATCCATTATTTGAAGATACTGAGTGTCTACAATGAGATAACGTAACAAAAGATTTGCTCCTGAAACTTTGGAAATGTTCCTCCAATATGAAAAGTGACTTAAAGAAATCAGACTTATTTAAATTAGATTTACCTGACATCTCCCAAGAGTTTAATAATTTCATCAGAATTCTCCTCACTACAATATAAAAATAAATTGAGTCATCTTTCAGCCATGTTCTTTCAACTAAAAAAAACATTATTTTATTTGAAAACAACAAAAAAGTATATCTTACCTAAATATTTTTGAGGTGCTGCTATAACTGAGAGAAAAGAGAGACAAAGGGAAAATGATGCACATGAGAGAAGTATGTACCAGTATTTAAAGCAGATTAACCTGCAAGATTAAGTCCAAAGAAATACAACTCTGATACTTACTTTTTTGGTAATGTGGGCAGCTTAGGTAAGAGAAGGTTTGACTCATCTTCAGCATTATAGAAGGATGTTAGAACACTAAAAGTAAGGGGAACCAGGCATTACACAAACAGTAAAAGTTACTTCTCTTTCTATTAAAAATATCTATTTTTAAAGACTCATTCCATAACATTAAGAAGTAAACATATGCCAGACACCCTGGCTCATGGCTCATGCCTATAATCCTAGCTACTCAGGAGGCTGAAATATGAGGATCACCATTCAAAGCCAGTCCAGGGGAAGGTGGCTCAGTGGTAGAGCGTTTGCCTTGCATGCATGAGGCCCTGGGTTCGATTCCTCAGCACCACATAAACAAAAAGAAAAAAGCCGGAAGTGGCACTGTGGCTCAAGTGGTAGAGTGCTAGCCTTGAGCTGAAGAGCTAAGGGACAACGCCCAGGCTCTGAGTTCAGGCCCCACGACTGGACCCCCAAAAAAACCAAAAAACAAAGCCAGCCCGGGCAGAAAAGTCAGTGAGACTCTTATCTCCAATAAACCACCAGAAAACCAGAAGTGGTGCTGTGGCTCAAGTGGTAGAGGGCTATCCTTGAGCTAAAGAGCTCAGGAACAGAGCCCAGGCCCAGAGTTGAAGCCTCACAACCAACAACAACAACAAAAAGTAAAGATATGGCACAAATAGTTTACCTGTCTAATAATCACAAATAAGAAATGATAAAAACAGAAATTTCTTTTGTTTGTAAAAACAAATGGACCTACTGTTATTCAACAGTTTTCTTGGGCTGGGAAGGTGGCTCAGTGGTAGAGCGCTTGCCTTGCATACATGAGGCCCTGGGTTCCATTCCTCAGGACCACATAAGCAGAAAAAGCTGGAAGTGGTGCTGTGGCTCAAGTGGTAGAGCACTCGCCTTGAGCTGAAGAGCTGAGGGACAGCGCCCAGGCCCAGAGTTCAGGCCCCACGACCAGACTCCCCCCCCCAAAAAAAAAAGTTTTCTTAGCATAAAATACCTTCAACCAGATGCCTGTAATCCTAGCTGCAACAAGAGGCTGAGATCTGAGGACCATGGTTCAAAGCCAGCCTGGGCAGGAAAGTCTGTGGGTCTCTTATCTCCCATTAACCACCAGAAAACAGGAAGTGGAGCTGAGCCTCAAAGTAACAGAGCACTAGCCTTGAGCATGAAAGCTTAGGAACAGCACTTAGGCCCTGAGTTCAAGCTCTCATGACAGATAAAAACAAAAACAAAAACACACCAAAAAAAATCCACCTTTCATATATACTCAGTATTGGGATACTGAAAATATATGATTTTTTAACTCAAATCTAAGAAATTTTGCTACTAAAAGTAACTTTAGAGAACAGTGCAATTAATATATCATTTAATTACTGGTTCTATGGCTTACATACATTTGCCATCTGACAAGACAGCAGGTACAAGAGACTATATCATAAACTTTGCAACAGTCTCAGTAGCTGGGATAATAGCATGTGGGTTTATAGGCATGTGCTACTGCGCTTGGCTTATAAATAGGTTTATTTCCCCTTGTCATTCTCAAATAAGACTGGAAACAGATAAGCTAGCAAATGAAAGAATGGGAACTTAGAAGTATTTTTCACACTTTTACACAAAGTAGCTGTCCTGAGTTTCTAGACTTAACAGGAAACAATTCTAAACCATGAGTACCAAGTATTGAGAACACAGTTAGCAAGTAAGTGAGCTGGGATAGGAAGTACACATATGGTCTGCTTCTCTCACTTTCTAGAAGATTCACTGATTACCTGATGATGGATTAATCATTGTGGGTTCATGTATATTTCAAATGCCAGGCTACCTCCTTGTTATCTATTTCTTTCAGGCCCTTCATCAAGTTGTCAGTTAACAGTCAGGATTTACAAATTTATTTGATATCAAGTTAGTAAAATTTAATCAGTAAGGAGAAGGTGAGGGGAAAAAAAAGTATTTTTTTGAGGGGGGGATGGTTGGTAGCGGGGCTTGAACTCTGGGCCTTTAACTCTAGCCTGGGTACTGTCCCTCAGCTCTTCAGCTCAAGGCGAGTGCTCAACCACTTAAGCCACAGTGCCAATTCTGGTTTTGTGGTAGTGAATTGGAGATAAGAGTCTCATGGACTTTCCTGCTCAGGCTGGCTTTGAGCGGTGATGCTCAGATCTCAGCCTCTTGAATAGCTAGGATTACAGGCGTGAGCCACAGGCTCCCCGCAGAAAAGTAAATTTTTTATCCTCCCTTCCCCAAATTCAACATCACCCAGATTCACTAGCCCCTCAGTCTACCTTTACTGTAAGCTTTACTTGGCTACACAGAGTAAGGCAAAGGGTTTTCATTAGACAAGGAAAAGACAGGATCCTGGATACAAGAAAAATAACCCATGCAACATCAGAACAGAATGCTCAACTTAGTACTTTCCGTACTCCAAGAATATTTACTAAGACACAGAAGACCAAACTCTTGACAAAATAACTTGACAGAACAGGAGAGGGGGGCCTCCATTTCCCAGTCAGTAAATTTGTTGTTGCTTTTGTCTGCTCTTGAGACAGAGTCTTACATGATCACTCACTCATGACGTGGCCTAGGACTACAACTCTCCTGTACCAATCTCCTAAGAGGTGAGATTACCACCACACCCAACTAGTAATTTTATTTAATGTTTACATCAATGAAACCAACTAATAAAAATAATTCCAAAGAGGAGAAAAATCTTAACCTTTTCAGGCGTCATTACTGTACTAACAATGTTTTCAGAAAAAAAGAAAACGAAATATTAAAATATTTTATCTTCAGGAAGGGAAAACAGAGGGGAGAAGGAAGTGAAGGAAGGAATGGCATTGTCCAAAAGAGAAATGTATGCATTACCTGAACTGTGAAACGGTAACCCCGCTATATAACAAAGTAAAATCATATTTAAAAACAAATTTTATCTTTATAAACTGAACAAAATTTAAACGCAATGTATACATGCTCATAATATTTAAGACACTCATTTCCATCCTAATAAATGGAAATTCCAGCGGAGGCAAGAGGATCACAAATCAAAGTTAGCCTTGACCTGTCACACCCACCCACAAACAAGGTCCTAACAATTTCATGAGTGGGTATCTCTGGTCACTCTACCTGCTTTCCACAGTCACTTCCATCCAATGCATACAGGAAACTGGAGCCTCCACAGAAAAAGAGTGCAAGCTTTCAGGTTTTTCCACATCACACAAAATAATTTTCTTGGTGTCAGCAAGAGCAAAGGCCAAAACTAAAACAAGATAAGCAGATAATCAGAATAAATTAGTGTACTATTTGAGAAAAACAGTCATAGAAATTACTTGACCTAAAGATCCTTCCTAGGCAACAATGCTTGATAAGAAATGTACTCATTATCTTGCCCATGTAATTGTAACCCCTCTGTACAGTATTTTCACAGTTTTAAAAAAAAAAAGATCCTTCCTATTTCATAAAGAGATTTCTGCAGACAGTTCTGTTATCACATAAGCTTATTTTTAAGTGCTCAGAACTATATAAGCAATTTACTATTTTCTCATGTATCAAATATCTTAAATATCAAAGTCTCTAGATTGGAGCTCTGTTGTCAAGTAGAAAATACACCCCAGGACCCAACACACAATTTACTGTATTATCAAGCTGGTTCCATAAACATTAGTTTAAACAACAACAACAAAAACTGAAACAAAACAGAAGCGATCCCATCTGTTGTGTTCTTGGAAGGTTTTTTTGTTTCTATCTCACAGTGGAAAAATCAGACTAGCAAACACTCATGCATCCTCTTCTTCTGACTGGGGATGAAATACTTAGTACAGTTTCTCTACTTCAGTCATGAATGTCTTCTTGTTTTTGCCAGTCCTGGGGCTTTAACTCAGGCCCTGTGTGCTATCCCTGAGTTTGTTCTCAAGGCTAGTGCTCTATCACTTGAGCCAGAGTGCCATTTCTGTCTTATTATGAGTAGTTTATTGGAGATAAGGGTCTCATGGACTTTTATGCCCAGACTGGTTTCAGATCCTTAAATCTCAGCCTCCTGAGCAGGTAGGATTTCAGGTGTGAGCCACCAGAGCCCAGCACAAATATCTTTTTAACATACCCCCAACTTAAGGATTTCAATATAGGAGAAATTAGTTTCATTGCATACAACTATAATCAACTTTGCTGGATGTGGGAGCTCTAGCTCCTTTCTTTCTTTTTTTTTTGTGTCTAAAAGATGATATTGTGAATGGTCTCATAAGGCACTTCGCACAAATAAGTAATAAGTTCAGGCTTAAAAACGGATGACTAATCAGGGAGAAGTTGAAATGCACTCGAGACAGCTGTTGGATCTAGCTCCTTTCTTAAGAGGGGAAAATAATTTTAAAATAATCATTACCTAACAAAAAATATGCTACTGTCAAAAAATAAGAGACATAGGTTTTTAAGGCTATAGATTTATCAGTAGAGAACATGTCTACCATGCAGAAAGACCTGAGTTCAATCCACAAACATAGGAAGAAAGAAAAAAGTTTCAAAAACCCTCTAGCTTTGTACACATTCTACTCATATTCTGAGTAAAAGGAGTACAGAATGACTATACTATTTTGAAAGCATTTTTGGAAATTTTACTTCTAGTAATTAATCTAAGGAGTATTACACAGAGTTATTCCAAGTACTCAGAATGTTTATACAACATTGCTTATAAAAGCCCAAAACTGACAATTATCTAAAACCACCATATTTAGTCATATTTAGTAAATTATAATATATAAAAATAGTGAATTGCTATGCAGTCATTTAATATTAATGTGATAAATCTATATTCAACCAAAAAGAAAAAAATTATGTACGAAAATAGGAAGCATCATTAACTTTAAAAAAATTGTATCGTTATTATAAAGGTGATGTACAGAGGGGTTACAGCTCACTGACTTAATGAAAGTGCACACATAGATCTCTATTTGCACGTATCTTATCAAGCAACGTGGAAAAGTGTTCACCAAAATAAAAGCAGTTGCTACTTTTCAGTGATAAGCTTTCAAAGAATTTTAAGTCCTTACATTTACCTAGAAAAAAATTAAGCAATAAAGAATATATATTCACTTTATAAAAGCAATTCGCTTTTTTCTTAGAGTACTAATGATGCAGACAAAGTTGACACTAGGATTTAGTAGTTTACAGAGCTGACTGTATGTGTACCACAGCTCAGAAAAGGACTTTCACTGTGAAACACCTGGCAGAGAAGTTCAGTCATCATAGCCCTACCAGCCACGATAGAAGAGGTTGCAAGAGGCAAAAGACCACACAGAAATGAAAGAACTAGAGTCAGAGCAGGGGGTCCTCCTGTGTGACCTACTTATTTACATTATGCATATCATACTCACACTTATTCATACATATTCATAAGAATGCTTTATGAGCCTGTACAATTACCACTAAAATAAAAGGCCATGATGGCACTGATTAGACTGGCAAACGGAAGCTGGTGCCTGACCAAAGGGTAGAGGACAGGAGTATTGAAAGAACAAAGTTAGAGTTTGCTGCAGTTATCTTTGCCAAGAAGCCACATTTTTCCAAAGAGATATCTCCAACAGACAGAATTCGAGCTATGAAAAATGTTAAACCATTAAAAAAATTCCAAAGGACAGGGCTG